TAGTTTTATAATATATAATAGTTTTTTAAATTATTATTTACTAGTTGTCGTCGGTTCAAAAAGTCTTATGTTTAATTTTTTGTTAACACAAAGCTTCTCCGTAGTCACTCGAGCAATAAATAAAAGCTACAAAACACATGTGGATCAGCTTTGTCTTAATTTAAAGGAAATAAATGCTTTTTTTTAGTCTTTGCTTGGGTGTTGGCTGATATCGTGCATGGCCAGATACTTAAAGTCCTAGTATCAAAATCGGTATTGGAAGTGAAAAAGCTGGATCAGTGCATCCCTAACAAAAAATCACTCACTTCACATTCTTATCGCTGGTGGGATGAGCTTAACCTCCAGCTCTGTGGTCTGACTTCTACCTCTAATTAGCCGAGGGAGCGCTGCCCATTCTGCTCCAAGGTCAGGAGATAGAGAGGTGAGGAATCACTGAAGACAACCCAATTAGACAACTTTCCAAAACAAGCTGACTATAATGACTCTATCTGTATGTGGTCGTGCAAGAAATACCAACAAATCATCATTAAAGGGCTCATATTAATTCTGATCTGTAAGCAGTATCCTCATCGAAACCGTATCCAGAATTGTGTTTTGTTTCATTCACACATTCTGCATATTTAGTCCATCTCTCAAACAGAAAGCACACTGTTCCATTTTGTGATGTCATGTGGCACGACAGGAAGTGCTCCACTGTGTTTTTAAACAAGGTGGAACAGAAAAGGATTACTCAAACATGTGTGAATGAAATAAGACACAACTCCAAGTATGTTTTTTATGAGGTAACAACATTCTAATGTGACTTAAAGCACAAGAGTGAATTTTGTCTAATATAGGACCTTTAAAACAATATAAATTTGATTGTGAGGTGTAAATGGCTGTCCAAACAATTAGAAGAGCTATTGGAGCACTTTAAATGAGCTTTAGTTTGATCTGACTAATTCACTTGTACTTGTTTAAAAGGTATCACTTCACACTGGTTTTTATGGCTCACCTGGGGCCCTCACTAATCCAGACTTGAGCCTGATTGAAAACAGATCAGAGCTTAAGACTCTGAGAGCGTCTTCACTATCAAAGCAAAAAGACAGATGTTTTCCCGTCTTAGTTCAGTGTTTCTATATCATAACATTATATCATCAGTAGTTAGTCTTTGTATACTTATGGTAAAACAAAGAAAATCCAGATGCTGACTTGCCCTACAGCTTTGCATGTGTTCTGGTAATTACAGCACTGTTTTCCCATTTAATGCACATTTCCATAGAAACAGTGGCGAGGTGTTTTGGTCTGGGCTGGAACTGCTATACATTGTAAAGGCTGTTATTCAAATGAAAAAAAAATTTAAATAAAGAAGTTAAATAAACTGAAGTAATTCATGTTAAGCCATTGTTTTGTTTTCAAGTTAAATTCAAGTAAAGTTTTGATACATAACAGCCAGCCTTTTTACAATGTTAATGTATGTATATGTTTTCAGTTAATCAATCAATAGTTTATAAATGTAAATACATTTTTGTCTTGGATGTGCAGTGCTTTGAGATCAATTCCTGATAATTTGTTGAATGCTACTCCCAGCTCTTTGCCCGCTTTCACACTGTTTAAACTGTCTAATAAAGAAAGAAAAAACTGTGAAAGTCCCTTCACAAAATCTACCTTGGCCTAACTTCTGTTATGTCCAGTCAGTGTCAATGTTTTTACACAAGTGCTTTGGATCTTTCCCTTTATCTAAGAAGAGTTTTTATGAAGCACGATACCCACAAACACAATGTAGCTGTCACTTTACAATAGGCAGTAGACGCCGCGGGGCAGGTGGGCGTGGCTAAGGTGTGAGAGTGTGAAAAGGGACCGAGGGCGTGCACTGATCCTTGGACAGGTCGGCTCTGGTGCACGGGGGGCCACGGTGGGACCTGCAGGCAGCTCACTGATAGATTTACCTGAGCGGCCCCGAGCGCACACACACACAAAACACAGAAACCACCGGACCCTGACACACACACACACACACGAGCAGACAGCCTGGTGACACAGATATCTGAACACAGAAAATGCATGTCACTCAATAGAACGAGAGCTGCTGGATTGTTAGGGGAAAACCATATTTCACTTATGAAAAACAAAAGACATTTCTAGTAATGTTATGTGATGCTGCTCCAGGTTTTGTTTAGCCAGTTTCAACTGTTTTTTTTTTTTTTACTTTTGGTGTCATGGTGATAATTTAAATCCATTAAACCTAAGTCAAATTTTGTAGATCTTATTTGGCTAGATCTCTTAACTATTTATTTTAGCACAAGGGTGGGGGAAAATTAGCCTGATTCATCAGCCTGTTTCACTTCGCAGAAACCATCTGACCTCGCAGTGTTAGAATTTATTTGCTCGATGGTAGGTGGGCACTTGGTTAAACTGACAAAATAGCATACTTGGTTTTTATTTAACCAATTACTGCTATTTGGTCATGACGTATGTAATGCACCGCTAACGGGGTTAACGGGTATATTAAGCTTTTCTCAACTCCCTTAGGAAGAAGGGCAATAATGTCTTTCCCCTTGATAAAATTCATCAAACATTCTCTTAGTTCCGGCTTTAAATCCTTGATCTCGGGAATCATTGCCAACACAGAATGTATGAATCTTCGCTGATTGGCTGGTGCCCAGACTCACACTTCCGGGTTTTCTTGTAAACCAAAACCATCTAGTGTATTCCGATTCCTGACATAGCCGCTGAGAAATGAAATTGAGCGGAGGCACTAGGTGGCGCCAGCCTGGCTAAGGGAAAATGGGGATAAAAACAGAAACAAATCATAAATATTGTGTCTACTGTAATATCAACCAAGAATATTTTTTGTGTGAAATTGTGACACAACTAAGTATCAAAATTACGCACTTCTGAGACACTAGCTTTGTTCTCATGGGATTTTTAAGCATGCTATATTTAGCTAAGCATTTGAAAAACAAATAAGCAGTATGATTAAATTGTGTGGCTAATTAAAATCCCTGATATGTGGGAAAACTTGTACTGATAAGCCACTCTGGACAGATATAATGAGGCCCTTGGAGCAGGAGTTTGATGGATCAGTTTGGAAGATTCAAAAACACAAAACTATGACAGGGGGAAGTAAACTCATCTTCTGGAAAGTTTTTCTGTTTTGGTGATGTTGAGCAGATGGACCAGAGAGACACCGTGTTGATCTTAAAAAATCCACTGTAAACTCTTGTGAGAAGGAGAATAATTTATGAGTCTCTAGTGCTGGTGGAGCCGGTGGAGAGTTGGCGTTTTGGAAGTTGGTCCTAATGAACTTAAGCGTGTGCCCCTCTCGCTGATGCCAGAACGCCATGAATAAACATCAACCGCTAATTAAAAGTCAGCGCTGGCAACTGTATGTACGCGTAAACAAGCCAGAGGTCCCACACCCTAATACTCGGGTGATTCACATGAGGAATACTTAATACAGATCAGAACATGGACCAAATAAGGAAAGACTAAGAGAGACAACTGAGCGAGGCAATGATAACATTATTTTATATGTAACTAAGTCCACGTTAAGGTCCTATATTACACAAAATAGATTATTGTGAAATTTAAACCATGTTATAATGTTAAAATGTTTTACCTTTTTTGTTACATTTCAACATAGGTCAAAAATAGTGCAATATAGTCCTTTAAGACTATGCTTAAAATGAGGATTAATAAAATGTACACTATAACGTTCACCTACTTTGATTTTGTTTATGTTCCCGACATTTTCAATTAAACGAAGTACAGGAATTTTTTTCACCGAGGGCTGCGTTTATTTTAGTCTTGACTTGTCAAACAATAATTTTTTTTATTTATGTATTTATTTTGGGCAAGTAGAGATTTACATTCTTATACAATGGAACATATAACGTAAGTGAAAACAAAAAAAAATTGCCCAAAAAAGAGTGTGAAGAATCAAAAACTTATTTAATCCCACCCCCGCTCCTCTAATCTAAAACAATGAGTTTTCTTTTGCATTTTTCAGACATTTTGCATTAAGACATATGAAGTACTTACAAGTGCAGACAAAGAGTCACTGTTCTAGCTTGGAAGTATAAGATAATCATACTAACAATGGTAATGTTAAGGATACAGACAATGGTAACAGACAACAGATACAAGTAATGCAATGGTAAAGAAACAACAAACATAAAGCATCACTACAGAAGGCAGTATTGTTCTAATATTAAGACTCAACCTCTATATACTGTGCCAATATGTTTATCGAACAACTTGAATTTCTGGATATTTTGCCATTTGCTTCAGATGTGTATCCAGACTGTTCCAAAGTTTTCTACCACATATAGACACACACAAACTTTTACGAGTAGTTTGAACATTGGGCAATTTGAAATTTCCATACCCACTAAAATTATGAGTTCTCTTTCTCATTTTGAACAAGCTTTGAAGATTACTTGGTAGTAAATTGTTGAATGCTCTAAATAAAATTACCAGTGTATGATATTTTATAACGTCAGGAATCATTAGGGGTTTGGACTGAATAAAAAGATTATAATAAATAAAAATTGGATAATTCGCAAAGCACATTTCTATAATATAATCAGCAATATTTCTATTTTACATAAGGCTTTCAAAATAGATCAGCAACCAAATAAAGTTTAAAATATGGTGACTGAAGGCTTACGATGAAAATATTACAAATAAAGTGTTTTTTTTTTTGCTGAAATCAGAAATTGATTATTCTTTATTTACATTAAAACTTTTGATTTGAAAAGGGTAAAAATGTTTTGCATGTGCTTTAGAGTCTGTACAACAATTATGATTATCAAAATATGACTACTACTGATTATTTGGTTATTTGTTGCAGCTGTAATTTTGACATTACATATTTTTTTATAAACATATGCTACAGTATCAGTAGTATAAGAGTATTGACCAACTAATTCTGCCAAACTAATCTGATACAACTCCATATATGTTTTGAATTTGCTTGATCTCATTTGATTAATCAGCCATTTATAAATCTTCCACAGCGTGTAACTGTAACCTGCACGCGCGGAGATGTCGATTCAACATGGAGCTGTACAAACTGTCGGGGAGGAAGAGCGGAGGAGTCTGCCTCAACTGTCGCCACAACACGGCCGGGCGCCACTGCCACTACTGTAAAGAGGGATACTACAGAGATCTGTCCAAGCCCATCTCCCACCGGAAAGCCTGCAAAGGTATAACACAAACATATATAAGCCTGTCACCATAATTACTATATCGACTTACGGTTCAGTATATGAAACAGGGTACAATAGTTTTACCAGTTTTACAAGATTACTTTTTCTCTGTACCAGACAGACAAAGTTAACGGTCAGATCTGTGGAGAGGCAACCCCATTCACAATTAAAATGCCTAGGTATTTCTAGCCATTTTTGAGCTCTAAAACCATCTGTAATTGAATAAATGTAAGTTAGAGCTGTTTAATATCATATTGTGGAACAGTTGAACCAGAGCAATGACATATCCATAAAATCAAGCTGGTGATGGACCCCCAAACAAAAAGTTACATAGTGCAGTGTCTCATTCACATATTTATTTATTGTATGTCATGTTTTTAGTTGTTTTTTTCTTATAATATTGTACATTTAAAATAGTTTTTTGGGGATAATCCGTCCTTAGGGTTATTGTGTCAGTGGAATAAATTAGTATTATCGTTTGTCATCTATATTTTCTTCACCAATATATTGTACTTCAAAATTTGTTATCATGACAGGCCTAAAATACAACCAAGCTATATTTATCAAATCAGCCAAGCAATGACAGATGGTGCACATAGAGGCACCAATATTAGTGAGAGAATAAAGAGTAGTAGATTTCCTGGAACGTTTCATATAGTATGGCATAAAACATATATATCTTGCTTTTATTTATTTTTCATTGTTGCTCAAAAATACCTGCTTGTCATTATAGAGATAAATTTGGTGGCAAACTCTCCACAAGACATGTCACATAATAATCTTTAAATGTATTTCTTTTATTTAAAATTTGACGTGTGTTTCACAGAAAAACTTAAGTTATTCTCTTCATTCCTTGTCTGCATCAGTCAGTGCAGAGGCATTTGGGGTATGGAGGTCACAGTGGTATGATGTGGGCGGGGGTTCAGTGGCAGGGGGCAGTTCTTCTGACAGTGAGCGATTTGACAAAGGCAGAAGCTGAAAGAGCTGAAGGATGACAAAAATAAACACCACGGAGGTGTGAAGTGATCCCCAGGCGCAGGTCAGAGGAGAGGGTGGAGGGGGAGGGGGCTGTGCACACGCCCTTACGCAGGTGTGCTGTGGGACACTGAATGAATCCACCAGCAGTCTTCAGCGTGGCGAATAAGGGTCAGAGAAAGGAGGGGAGGAAGCGCCTGGGGAGGGGGAGAGCGGATATGATTCTCGCCTTTTCTGTAGCTGCAGGGAATGAAAACAGAAGCTGGAGCCAAGTGCAAACAAGTCCACAGACACCTTCACGTCACTGACACGGATCCTCATGCGTTTAAGGGCGTTCACTTCCACAACAGGCTGAGGAAAGATTAGATCAGTGCACTTAGTGAAATCTAAGTAAATAAGATGATAGAGGTCAAGGAAAAGAGAGTAGAAGTAGAGGAAATGTGGAGGTACAATTTGTATATCTGGAGAAACCATAGACTGTGTAATATATATAAATGGACAAAGCTAACGCATTAGGCGCCACACTCCAAATAGGAAGTTTACATGTGGTTCTTCCGGCTCCTACTGACTCTGGCTCCCACTGACATACATTGGAATCTTGTCGCCCCTTTTCTCTGTAACTGCTGCTGTGAGTCTCGTCATTTTGGTCTTAAAATATTTCTTAAATTATTCTGTTCTCTGTTTCTGTTCTGTTCTTTTGTTTTCTGTTGTCAGTTTAAAAAAAACATATTCATAATGTAAAGTCTGCCTCCAAAATCGCTCCTGTAACTGTTAATATCCTGAGCTTCACACTCTCTTAGTCCACCTTTTAAATTTTTACTTTTTAAAGATGCATTATGGGACTTTATGAGACTTGAGGTGTTATTACTTTGCCCAAAATTTGTTCAGTGGCAGGTGTTTTTATTCCCAAAAAATGAATGAATGAATGTATTTGTCACTTATCAACAAATCATATTGATTAATAACTATTATCTTTTACTGAACATAAACAATGCAGACTTTGAATCAGTTCAGTTTAACACAAAAATAGTTCAGTCTTCATCCGAAGCCTGAACTCATAATATTGATTTTATTGATTGATTGATCCAGTTTCTTATTATGGACCATATAGTGCATTTCCAATATATGTATGTACACTGTAGCCATGTTATTTAACCATTTTCTTCTCAAATATCACTCACATATCGTTAGTCTCACAGCATAGTTGCCTAAGTCATATTTGAAGGTTTTCGGAAAAAAAGAAAAAAATAATTTTTAAGCAAGCACATTGGTATTTCCTATTTTTATTTATTGTACAGAGATGACTAGTGCAGACAGTGATTTTAGATTCTAATAAGCGCTCTGAGGACTGAGGCTGAGGACATAAGCAGTAAGGCAGGGTGATGCAGCAGTGGTGGGAGAGTAAAGTTAGTCACAATTTGGCCAAAAAAATTACTTAGGCCATTATGCTATTAGGCTAACCATATGTTTTCTCATTTCAAACTCACCATTTCATTTCAAACATATATTTTCACATATCTGTCATTTGTATCCCGTCCCCTTTCTATTGCGCCTCTTTGGTGAAGTTTCTAGACCGGAGCTAACACCTTCCTTGGTTAGGGTCCATTCCCGTGTCAGGCAGGAATGCAAACACACATTCATCACAAGGGGACATTGTGTATCATTAACCCCTATCTGGAGCTGCCTGTGCTGCTGGGGCCAGGTCCTTTTGTGCCTCCTTCACCTCCTCCATGTTGGTTTTACATCTCCTCTCATGTGTCCAACACTTCATTCTTTCAACATCTCTCACCACTCACTTTGTCGCTTTAACGCTTGTTTCCTCGGCGCCCTGCAGTGTCCAGTTCATTTGTCAAATCAGAAAATAACATTAGGGTTCGATGACCGTAACACATTACACATCCTTCAGGTACATAAATAAAATTAGTGTCAGTACCTGATGTTCTGGAGTAATATGTATCTCCTATATTAATCTTACAGAATCATAAAGAAAAATAAGATTACTTAGCAAGTTAAGGGTGCACTATGTAACTTTGGTTGGGGGTCTGTCACCTGCTTGTTATACAGATATGTCATTGCTCTGTTTGGAATATTCTACAATATGACATTACACAGCTCTACTTTACACTGAATTACAGGTTTATAACTAAAAATACATATGTAAATATGTGAGCAAGGTTGCACCTTCACAGATCTGAGCTGTGACTTGGTCTGTTTTGGTCTCCATGAAGATAGAAAGGTTTAAAGCCATACTGTGAAACCCAGACAAAGCAATAGCATCTCCACATCTCTTCCTAAAGCAAGGCTAACTGTAAGGATTTACTTTTACATTGCAATTTTTGATGTTATGGTAACAATTTTGTGAAATAGAAATGTTAAAAAAAAAATAGAAACTCACTTGAGAAATATACAAATTTACTACAACTAACACCTACAATTAATGAGGAAAGCCATGAAAATTAATGAGGAAAGCAGCTTTTTCCTGGCAGGAGCAGGTGCCCTGCTCAGTAATACCACCAACCACTGGAAATAAGATGGGACATTTGACTACTAACCAGGATATGATCAAAGTTTGGCCTATTTGGATCTAAAACACAGAGCACACACGCGTTTATAGCCTGGCAAAGCTGCAGCTCACTGGAGTCGTCATTATGTCAGCGTTCCCAGATTATTGTACAGTAAATGAAATCATCCTCCTTCACTAACACATTTATTTTCATTCATTTTTCTGTTGCCTTTCAGACTACAGCCCTATAAACATATTTCATCAAAATTGTCAACATATTCATACACTCAATTGAAATTATGACATTGGCCAGACATTTTGGCCTCTGTGTAATAGAAACTGTCTGCTTACTTTTCCTGAGCAATTCCTTTGCATCAAACCCTGCTCACAATAAAGGATCTGTGCTAATTAGCTTGGGCTGACAGATGATACGAAGCATGACCTCCTCCTCCTGCCAGTTTAAACATTTGCGCAGACTATATTTGGAAAGTTACCGATGACGACCTCTGAGACGTGTGTCATTGTATTACATGCTCACTTTGTGTTAACAAACCCAACAGTTACCACCCACAGACACACGTGAGACTGCATATTTCTGTTTAAATACTCTGACATCCTTCAAGTAAAGTTACCACCGTAGAATTATTATTTTATCATTACCTTCACTCTCACCAAACGCATAGAGATACATACAGTTTTTTCAAAAAGGTAATGGAAAAAAATGTATGGGTGACTTACTTTTGGAACAGCCTTGGTTAATTAAAGGTGTACTGTGTCACTTTTCTGGTCCATCTAATGCTTTTCTTAAGGGAGATGTTATTTGTTTGTTGGGAATATTTCACAATATGGTATTAAAACTTTCTATCTTCATAAAGACCAAACCAGACCAAGTTACAGGCCAGATCTGTGGAGAGGTAACCCCGCTCTGTTTTTCTAGATATTTTTGAGCTATGAAACCACCTGTAACTTCATAAATGCAAATTAGAGCTTTTTTAATGTCATACTGGAAGAGCAATGACATAATCATAGAAACAAGCAGGTGACAGACACCAAACCAAAATGCGCACCTTTAAATACTTTTTGACAACAATTAAAAACTTCAGATTATGTATTAAGAACTTTATTACAGTGCAACTTGGGGGAGAATGAGCCAGAGCAAGTTGGAGAGCGCTGCTTTTATGCGTCCCACCATACCCTGAATGCCTCTCATTTCCATAGAAGGCCATTACGAGTACCAGACAAGTGCCCAGCGGTCACATCCTCATTTATAACTTCACTCCTCATTGAGTTTGACTGTAAACACCACGCATTTGTTTCACTAACTGTTGTACAGCTTGAGCCAAGGCTGCCGAAGAACACACAGAGAGTTCAATTGATAGAAAAAAGACTTAGGAACGGCTAAGGTGAAAGTGAAAAAATGATTTAGTGGAGCTCACTGGGTGGCCTGAGATGATAACAAATGTCACTCCGGTATGACAGCTTTAATGGGCTGTGCGCCTCACTGTTTCTGATTTGAGTA